GACCTAGCTAAGGTTCTTGGGAAATAGCCTGTGGGCTATTGGCTTCGCCAGAGAACAAATGTGGTTAGGAAATACTCTGTGGCTGGCTTCTGATGGTATCAGATGTCAAGAGATAATCGCTGTGACTCCTGCAGCCAAGTGGGCCTTCCACCATCAGAAGATAAGCAGTCACTTTCCCTCTGGCCAGAAGGTTTGGGTGGAGCAGAGGGTTCCAAGGTCAAATTGATATCTTAGCCCCTAATCACTCCATCTCAGCAACACTCAGTTTTCATAACGTGGACTTGACGAGCATCCACACCCTGCCTTGTGACATCAACCAGAGCTGCTGCCGCCTCCTCCCAGGGTGAAGGTCTTAGTGTACTTGCACCATTCTAGTCTCTCTTAGGTTTTGTTCTTAATTTTAATATGTGGTCCTGTTTATTTATACTTAGTCCTCAGCTTCCGTTTCAAAAGTCCATTTCAAAAGAAGTTGTGATAGCTTACAATAAAAGCTATATATCAGAACTGCAAATAAATAAAAACTGATTGGAAACCATCAGGCACTCAATAACTACCTTTCATATTGCTTTGAGGCGGGTGGGAAGGCGTTGGGTTCCATAGAGAAAAGAACCAGTTGCTTTGCTGCTAATCTTTGCTTTCAGACAACTTAAAATTGTTAACAAAAAGAAGGCGGGAGGAGGGGAAGAGGGAAAAGGAGGGGGATGGTAAGGAATAGAAGGAAGAAGAAGAAAACTATTGCATTGGCTCTTAATCATCATAGTTACCTTCCACAATCTAATGAAAGCCGTGGATCCTTCCACCCTGAAAAATGAACACAGGAAAACTGGCATACAATTTCAAGGGTGAGAAAGACTTCTCAACGCCCTCCAGGAATTGAAAGTAATCTTGATTTAGAGTAAAGGGAGCGCAAATTACTATACGACTCTTCAGTAAAATGTTTCCTATGAATGGGCACTACATTCGTTTAAAAATGTTTAAATGTTTCCGTAATTTCCTGAGCAGGTAAAATATACTCATGGCACAGAATTCAAAATGGTAAAAAGATAGGCTTGCTTCTGCCCTGTCCCTCAGCTGCCCAGTTCGCCTCACCAGAAGCCACCATTGTTCTTCCAGTGCTAGTCTAATATTACGTGTATTATTTTATACGGACATAAACAGCATACAAATACACTCATGCACGGTTGCATATGTTCCACACATTGCTTTTTTCACTTATTATTTCTGAAGAGCACACACAAAACTGCCTTATTTCTTCCATGGCTGCAGAATGTATCATTACTGGATGTACTCTAATTTATTTAACCAATCCTCTTGTTAACGTAAAAAAACCATTGAAACCTGTAAAGAATTTTTGTGAGTTTATTTGAGCCAAACTGTCGACATATGCCGGGAAGCAGAACCTCAACGAATTGAGATAATGCTCCGGAGAATGGTGGGGTTACATCTGCATTTATACATTGCAATCAAAGGAGGAACATAGGTGGGTTACATGAAATTCATTGGTGATAGATTAAGGAGGAGGGATAAGCAAAGCAGGGAAACCCCTGGGATTGGATAAAAAGTAAAATGATGGACACAGCCCTGACTGGTTTGGCTCAGTGGATAGAGCGTTGGCCTGAGGACTCAAGGGTCCCGGGTTTGATTCCAGTCAAGGGCATGTACCTTGGTTGCAGGCACATCCCTGCCGGGAGCCGGTCCATCCTTGCTGCTTGACACAGTTGCTGCAGGAAAGAAACATCTGCACAGCATATGTTTCAAGGGACCTGGCATATATAGCATATTGTTCTTAATATGTTTGCTCTCTTTAGCGCCATGTGTTTTAACCAAGGTCACCTCTCCGAGAAAGGTTGTTTCCCCAGGTGGGGATTTTTCCCTGAGGTTAGGGAGGGGATACAACCCCTTAATTAAGTGCCAGGCGAGTAGTTAAGCTACATAATCTTTACTCCCTGGAATGGAGATAAGAAATGCCCTAACCTTTGTAATAGAAATTGACAGGATTAAAATCGGCTGGTATAAATACGGATGTAACAAGACAATAAACATCAGATCCTGATCAGTTCCTAACCAGAACTCCGACCAGAACTTTGGCTGGAGATCCTGGCTAGAGGTCCTGACTAGGCTGCTGATCAACTGAAGGCTGTCTTCGTGTCATTCCTTCTTCGCCGACTCCGTTCACACCTTTGGGGACCCCTGGACCCGCTGGGATTGGACCCCAGCACATCCCCAGTGGGGGGGGGGGGTATGCAGGAGACAGCTGATCGATGTTTCTAACTCTCTATCCCTCTCCCTTCCTCTCTGTAAAAAATCAATAAAATATATTTTAAAAAAATGATGGAAACATACTTAGGTGGGTGCAGGAACAATTAACATGATAATGAAGGAATTTGTGGTATCTGTCCTGGGGCCCAGCACATTTGGTTGTGCCCCAGGGGCTCCAGATAAAGGGAAGTCACAAGTTACCCAGACATTTCAAGGGTATGTTATTATAGATGCAAAAAGACAGATAGGCTCAGTTAAGGTAAAGGTTGACCTTGTCAGTAAAGATACTGGCCTAGGACGTAACTGCCCACCATAACTGCTTTTAGTTGAAGTTTAATTTCAGACCATCCTTTGTGGTTACTTTAGGTCTCCAAGTTTGCAAGACTGCCATGCAGGCCTCCCCTGAGCTTGTCAGGTCAGCATGTGGCCCCTTTCGTCCACACTCTCTTGATGGAATTTAAGTTGTTTCCAATCTCAACAATTTCACAATGAACACCTTGCACATACATTTTTATATAATCTATAATAATCTATAATAATAAAAGCATAATGTGCTAATTAGACCGGACGTCCTTCCTGACAACCTTCTGGACGAAGCCAGGGCTATGAGGGAAGCCTGGGTCCTGGGTGCCAGAGGGAAGCTGGTGTCGGCAGCCGGGGAAAGGAAGGCCTACTCTTGCACACATTTTGTGCATCGGGCCTCTAGTTAGATTATATAAATAGAAAAAAAAATCCGAAGAAGTATAATTGAGCATTAAATTTAACTCTGAGCTCTCTGGCAGCCAAAGCAAAACGGGTGATGGTGGGTTTTGGCCAGGTGGTTCAGTTGATTAGTGTCGTCCCAATATGCCAAGGTTGGGGGTTTGATCCAATGCCAGGGCACATACAAGAAGCAACCAACATGCCCTAACCAGTTTGGCTCAGTGGATAAAGCATCAGCCTGCGGACTCAAGGGTCCCAGGTTCGATTCCGGTCAAGGGCATGTACCTTGGTTGCGGGCACATACCCAGTAGGGAGTGTGCAGGAGGCAGCTGATCAATGTTTCTCTCTCATTGATGTTTTTAACTCTCTATCCCTCTCCCTTCCTCTCTGTAAAAAATCAATAAAATATATTTTAAAAAAAAAAGAAGCAACCAACGAATGCATAAATAAGCAGAACAACAAATCAATGTTTCTGTCTTTCCCTCATAAAAAAAAAAAGGGTGTTGGTGGAGGACTGCCTATTTCTTTTTTCATTCCACAAGAAAGCATACCACTTCTTCCAAAGAGAAAAACTTATGTGCACTAGTTTCTTTGGGGGAACTAAATAATGGAATAAGGAAGATCTTCAATTGCAGTTTTTATCTTCATATGGCAGATTCTACATCTCTCTTGCTTTAAAAAGAAAAAAAAAAGGTATGGTCTAAAACCCAATCTGGGAGGGAAAGGTTCAGTGTTGAGATTTGAAACCGTCTCCCAGAGCACAGAGAAAGCCTGCATATGGCCCTTTTTAAAGATTCCTGAGGTGCGCCAGGTCTCCTCTCCTGCCCTACTCAGCATCTTCTCAGCTGCGGCCCAGACCTCGAGCCTAGTGCTTTCATATGGACTTTGGAATGATGGGTTGATGCATCTAGATAGGGGCTCCAGGGCTCCTTGCAGAGTAATTTCTCCATAAATAATCTCAGAAGGATTAGAGGAGCTTCTACAAGATCAAAGGTCATGTCTTAGTTGTTTCGAAAGCTCTTATCGAAGATAGTGGTGATAAGACGCTGGGAAAAGGCTAGAAATGAGTCTGACTTGTAAATGAAGTTCCCATGGCGTGGCATAGCCAAGAGAGTCCTGGAAGCTTAAGACAGACAGACAGACAATCTCCTCAGCTTCCTGCCCAAACAGGATGCTCACCTCAACAGGATCAACAGAGCCGTTCCCACTCCCAGCAAGCCCTGAGGGGGAAACCACGTGGTGTGAACGTTCTACCTGCAGATGGTTTGCACATGTTCATTCTCCATGTCTTTCCCAACTTGGTGTTTCCTTTAATATTTACGAACTTATTATGAAGACATTTGAGAGGCTGATCCCCACAGGTGCCTAGCACTGCCTTCCTCATGCCTACTGGTCTGTGCTTCGGGGCTCCAGGCAGCAGGCAGACGGCAGGATTGAAAGTGATCTGCCTCATTCATCCCAGAATCCTGTCATGCGAGAAGTGTGGCTTGTCTGAATGAGGCCTTGTCCACCGTGACGATGTGGGCCAGACTCTGGATCGGGCCAACCAGAAATGCTCTGGACAGTGGAGGTGGAGAAAAGTCGTTATTCAAAGGAGACTTTCTCTTACCCAGCCATTAGGGCTCCGTGGTTGAGTGTCAACCTCAGAACCAGAGGGAGAGAGAGAGAAACCTCAATGATGAGAGAGAATCATTGATCAGCTGCCTCCTGCACACCCCATACCGGGGATCGAGCCCACAACCCGGGCATGTGCCCTGACCAGGAACTGAACTGGCGACTTCTCGGTGCCCAGGACAATCAACGCCCAGCCAACTGAGCCACACTGGCCAGGGCTCTTTCGTTGGTTTTCATGAAAACTCACAGGGAGGCAGAACTCCACAGCTACAAGCCACAACAGGTCCCCCTGCTATCTTCCAGGCCACAGAGGGAGCTGGAGGAGGAGCAAAAGCAGGCCCAGGTGGGGCTGGATTGGGGTGGAAGGCTCAGGTGGGAGTTGGGCCAACACTGGCCAAACATTCAGGTGCCTTTTCTTAAATCAGATGCTATCTCCCTGGCTGGGCATCAGTCCCAGCACTTCTCCCTGACAGGCTTCTCTCTGAGCTGCCTGCATCCCTCCTGCCAGCCTGTGTTCACCGTGGAGACGGTGAGAGCCTGCCTGGCACCTCCTCTGCTGTCCTAACTTTATAAGTCGCCATTCTCTCTTCCTTCCTGCCGCCTAAGTAACATAAGAAATGTGGATCAAGGGAAGTGGTTTCCTGAGGTCCTAGCTGGTGAACATGCATCTAGGACAGTGGTTCTCAACCTTCCTAATGCCGCGACCCTTTAATACAGTTCCTCATGTTGTGGTGACCCCCAACCATAAAATTATTTTCGTTGCTACTTCATAACTGTAATTTTGCTACTGTTATGAATGGTAATATGAATATCTGATATGCAGGATGTATTTAGGCGACCCCTGTGAAAGGGTCGTTCGACCCCCAAAGGGGTCGCGACGCACAGGTTGAGAACCGCTGCTCTAGGATAATAAAACCAGGTACCATCATCAAACACGGAAGAATGAAATGTCCTTAGACATATGGGAAGCCGGACCCCGATCTTGGCTTTGCCATCTGTAAACTCTGAGAGGTCCCCTAGCCTCCTTTGACGAGGTTCCTTCATCCTGGTCACATGGTGGGACCAGGTGATCTCTCATGCGCCTCTTCAACCAGGTTATGACACTATTCAATAGGGACAATGACAAGTGTTGTGAGGCCCTGACCAGGTGGCTCAGGTGTTGGGTTCAATCCCCGGTCAGGGTGCACATGGATGCTTCTCTCTCACATCTCTCGCAGCAGAGATCACATGGCTGAAAGACACTGGTGTTATTCCCATTTTATAGCTAAGGAAACCAAGGCTCAGATAGGATAACTGACCAAGGTCACAAGAACTAGTAAGGGCTGGCTACAACTGAGATGTGACCCTGAGAAAAGTATAAGATGTCAAGGCTCACTGTCTTAACGATTTCTGTGTTTAAGTTCACCTACTGTTTGAATCACAGTTGAACAGCTTACAGAATGCTTCACTGTTATTCATTGTGACAAAGCCCGCCCATGTGTGGTAACCTGACTTCCCAGATGTTGAGGAAGCTGTCCAAGTGAGTCAGAGCCCTGGCTGCAGCCCTGGCTCCTAGGGTCATTGGCAGATAAGGACAGAGATTTCTTCTGGATGAGAGTCACACTGAGGCAGAGAGTGAAGCTACTCAAAAAGAAGGATTTGTCACAGCCCATATCTGAAAAGCCTATTCCAGGCAAAGTCCCATTGGCAACCCCCTGATTCACATTACTGGTGCCCAGAGCCACCTTGTAAAACTTTTTTTTAACTTATTGATTTTAGAGAGAGAGGAAGGATGGAAAAAGAGAGAGAGAGAGACATCAATTTGTTGTTCTGCTTATTTATGCATTCATTGTTTAATTCTTGTATGTGCCCTGACCGGTTATCCAACCCACAACCTTGGCTTATTGGGATGGTGTTCTAACCAACCGAGCTACCCGGCCAAGGCCCAGTGCAACTTTTTAAAACTCCCCAGGTGATTTTAATGAGTGGCCAGCATTAAAAATCACCGCTAGCCATTCCCCTGACTTTCCCGTTCTCTGCTCCCTTGGCCGCACGTGGAATGACATCCAGGCCCACCTGTGCCTTCTTATTGCAGATGAAGGGGGAAGCTGGACGTCAGCGCCATGACGAGAAGCCGAAGCAGGTAAACGCCAGCACCCACCCACCACACTGGTGAGGAAGCAGCCCGTGGCCCTCTCCATCCCCGCACTTGCTCATATCTGACGTCTCCCGAGGTTTAGGGGGAACTGACACATGGCCATGAGCTCATTTCAGTAGCTGAGCCAAGAGCAAGCACTTGACTGCAAGCTTCCTTATAAGCAAAGCCCCTTTGCCTGCCCGAGGGAACAGCCAGCCCCATAGCTGCCCTCCCGTTGTCTCTTGGCCCTTAGAATGTCCCGTGTCTCAGGCCTGTGCAACCACCCTCTCTAGACCGCTCTGGGGACGAGAGAGGCCCACTGGGGACTGGAAACGCGAACTGGGAACCAGCTCTCGACCCAGCGAACTTCAGCACCACATGCTTCTGTTTATCGTCCCTCCACTCGGGCTGCTGGAGAGAGAAACCGCCACAATCCCTGGGAAAAAACACCTAATCCTCAATGTGAAATTGAGGTTTTCAGTTTGACTTAGCTTGATTTGATTAAACTCAAATGAACAATTCCTAGCGAGTCTGGAGAAGTTCATGAGAAGGGTCCTCCGAGTCCTAGAGAAGGAATCATTGCAAAAGCCCAGGCAACCCTTCTGACGAGCTCGGGGCGACCTCGCAATGAGCACCTGCGAGCTCGGGGTGACCTCGCAATGAGCACCTGCGAGCTCGGGTGACCTCGCAATGAGCACCTGCGCTAAAGAACAAGTCCTTCTGGTCCTGTGGGCCCAGCCCTCTCGGAGGGAGAGGGCGAGGGAGCTCGAGGAAAGCTCACTTCCAGAGCTCAAGACCCTGATGAGCACTAGCCCTTGAACTCTTCACTGGCCCTGGACAATGACCTGTTTTGTTTGTTTGTTTTTTGGTCTTTTGATCAAAGGTGGGATGGGTAAGCGGAGAAGAAATGATTCAGTGCAGACTCAACTTGCTCTGAATGGATCAATCAAAACAATCTGCTCCTTTAGATCCAAAAGTCTGAATGAAAACGAAGTGTCCTATTCGACCCTCCCTCCCCCACAGCACCCCCTGACCCTTGGTGCGTGGCCCAGCTCACACAGTGCCGATGAGCCCAGGCGCTCGGGGCCCAGCTCCTCAGTTCTCCCCGCGGAAGATCTGAGCAGACGCCTCTGGGCTTAGCAGCATGGCACGTGAGGGATGTCTGTAATCCTGTCCTCGGTGCAGGAGAAACTGACTCACCTGGCACCAGTGCTCCTCCTCTCCAAGTCTGGGACCCTCTTGTGTGCGCATCAGGCTTGCCATGATCCCCGCGTTGGGCTCTGGAGGACCCAGTGACTGCCAGTGGTGTGCTCTTTGCCCCTAGAACTGCCCATTGTCCTGTCCAGCTGGCAACCTTGGCTAGTCTTGCTGGAAGGACGAGGGGTTAAGAGTCAGAACATATGTTCACTTACTCTTTTCTTCCAGGGCAAGTGGGTGACGGGATGGGGAACTGGGCCCTGGCACAGTGAAGTCCCGGTGTCCTCACTAAGGGTTCTGCAGGGCCTTCGGGGATGACCCTCCTGGCCTGGGTATCGGCTGGGGAGCGTTTAAAAACCTGGAGGCCCAGCCTCCGCCCGGGAGGATCTTGTGTAACTGGGTTGGGAGGGGCCTGGGATTTTTAAAGGGCTCCCAGGTGACTCCCATGCCTACATAATGGGCATCTCTGTTCCACGGGAGGACTGGTGACAAAAGCCCACAGCTGTTGGAAGGCTCGCCTGCCTTTCTCTGGGTGACAGGATCGCCTGCCAGTTTCTCTGCCGTCAGGTTGGTTCCCTCCCCGCCTTCCCCCAGCCTTGAGCTCTAATTTTCATAAACACACCCATATACAGCACAGGGCTCTTGATAAGGATGAGCCTCTCCTAGAAAGTGGGAAAAGGTCGGCGGTGCTGGTGTGGTGGAGATCCTGCTCACTCCTGCCAGCTTCAGCAGCGGGCTGTGTGGGCGCAGGCTTGCGGGGCCCTGACGCTGTCTTGCCCTCCCCAGGAGGGACACATCTGGGGCTCCATGAGGAGGACCGCCTTCATCCTGGGCTCCGGCCTTCTCTTGCTGGTGGCCTTCTGGAACTCCCTCACCTGGTGAGTGTGTCGGACCTGAGGGCAGGTGGTGGGGGTCTGGGGTGAGAGCGCCCACCAGTCTTCACCCAGGAACCTGATTTTCCCCCCAAGGCATCTTCAGAGATTTTGGGGTGCTTCTGGCCACTTCTGGCAAGCCCAGTGGGAGAGGCTGCTGCTCACCTTCGAAGGGAAGGAGTGGGTCCTCTTCGTGACAGGTGAGCTTCCCAGACCACCGGCCCCGAGCGCTTGGCTTCATGACTATCGTTCCTTTTCCGATGGTCTTGTTCTCTACTTTGGGACTTCTCAGCTCATGATTACGAGGAATAAGGACTTAAGTTTAAGTCGGTGGTAACCCCCAAGAGAGCTCAGCTTTCGGGGAATCTGGGATGGATGTCCACAGATATCTAACAAGAGACCTCCGTCTCCCCGAAAATAGAAAAAAGAGTTTGTGTGCAAATGAAGGCATGTTCGGAGCAATACTCCTGCGTTTAGATGTCAGACAGCTTCTCCATGTCATGTGAGGCTGTGTCCTTGTACTTGGTGCCATCTAGCTTGGGGCTGGAGAGCAAGCCTCACTCAAATATTTACTGACAGTGTGAATGACTCAAAACAAGCCTGAGAGAACACTGTGGAAGGAAAAGCCATGTCAGCGATTTACAACAGCATTATCTACCATAGTGAATGTCCTCGTCCAACCAAATAAGACTTATTCATGTTCCTCTGTGCCAAACCTGTATGGAAGATGGAGAGATATTTAAGATACCGTGTTGCTCTACCCCATCAAAAACCTCCCTCACAGCCTAGAAAGGGGAGATAAAAAAGTCTCAGTTGTCACAAAGCGAAAGTACAAATAAAATGTCCCTTGTTTCCATCTGAAAATGGGCTGGATGTTAACTATGACTGGTTCACAGGGATCTTAAGCAGTCATTGAAAAGAACAGTGTGGACTGCGAATGTCTGTAGGGAAAATGGTGGGAAAACATTTCACGTATTTCTGTTAAAATGATGAGAACGCAGCTATCACCTCGGCGATAAGCAAACATCAGACAGAAAATATTTGCAATTGTAAATGTTAGAGCTAAGAAAGTTCAAGATCATCTTTTGCGGTTTTCATTCTGTATTCCTCAAGGAGCCCTTGGACTTCAAACAGGCAGCCACCCTGATGGAGGGCCCACTAGGCAACCACCAACCCAGCATTTTTTTTCCAAAATAAAAGACTTGGTCATTAAAAATAAAGTAAATACATGCTCATTGCTAAAACAAAAATCAGACAATTTGAATAATCATAAAGAAGGTGAAAAATCACCCATTCTCCCATATCCAAGAAATAACCACTCTTAAATTAGTAGTATTAATCTCATACATTAGATATATAGTTGAATTTATAAGACATCAAAAATTTTTTTGTTTTAATATTTTTTTTATTGATTTCAGAGAGGAAGGGAGAGGGAGAGATAGAAACATCAATGGTGAGAGAGATTCATTGATTGGCTGCCTCCTGCGCGGCCCCTACTGGGGATCAAGCCCGCAACCCTGGCATGTACTCTGATTGGGAATTGAACTGTGACCTCCTGGTTTATAGGTCAACACTCAACTACTGAGCCACGCCAGCTGGGCAAGACATCAACTTTTTTAAAACTTGTTTTTCATTAGATTGTGGACATCTTTCCATGTCAATTAATAAGATTTACTTAATATTTTAAGCCGCCCAATGTAGTCCCTTTCCTCCTAATGGGCATTTGGGCTGTTTAAATGTTCTGTGATTGTAAAAATGCTGTGATGCTCCTTGATGTCCGTTTCTCTTTCCCTCTGTCTGTGTCTCTGTGTCTCTCTTTTACTTTTACTGCCAAATTGCCCTCCAGGTTGTTTGTGCCCATCACATGGCCCCTCAGAGCCGGCTACGTATTTCTCAGGTGTCATCTGCTACAAGGCACTGTGGTTGATGGAGGAGGGATACAGAGACACAGAATTAAGTACATCGTCCTTACCCCTAGATACTGAATTTAAAGGACAAGGCAAAACATGGAAAAGTAAAGTTCGTAGTACAAGGTTAGGTAAAATTGGGGTGGGCAGAGTGCTTGTTCGTTCACAGTAGGACATCAGTGATACTTAGAATGACTTCGTGGAAAAGTGGGATGTGGAGCAAAAAGCTGTATCTAAAGTTTAAGTCTTGGACATCATTTTCTAATATATCCTACATGACATCAGTGCTGTTGGATGGTGATAGGTGGGGTGGCCATATAACATATGGGGGGGTTCAAACAGGACATGAGAGTGAATGAGGTCTTATTAATTATGCTGGAATGACAGATGTCAATTAAAATTGTCCTGGACAAACTAGGATGCATGGCCATCCTGGTCTTAGGCATTCTTTTTTTTTTTTTTTTAAATATATTTTATTAATTTTTTACAGAGAGGAAGGGAGAGAGATAGAGAGTTAGAAACATCGATGAGAGAGAAACATCGATCAGCCGCCTCCTGCATATCTCCCACTGGGGATGTGCCCGCAACCCAGGTACATGCCCTTGACCGGAATCGAACCTGGGACCCTTCAGTCCCCAGGCCGACGCTCTATCCACTGAGCCAAACCGGTTTCGGCTAGGCATTCTTTTTTTAAAAGTAATATTTCACTGTGTTTTTTTAATTTTTTAAAATTTATTGACCTGAGAGAGGATTGGGGGAGGAAAAGAGAGAGAAATATCCATATGTTGTTCCACTTATTTATTGTTGCTTCCTGTGTGTGCCCTGACTGGGGATCAAACCCGCAACCTTGGCATATCAGGATGATGCTCTAACCAACTGAGCTACCGACCAGGGACCAGGGCTTATTCTTAGGTGCTCTGAGAGAAAACAAAGCTCTAGGGTTAAAAAAAAAAAAGCCTGGGGGCAGGTTGGGTTTGACAAAATCAATCAGGTTTCTTTGCTGCAGGAATTGTCAGAGCTGTGAACACACTAGTCTGGACCCTGAGTCTCCAGGAGAGCAGGCTCTGAAGTCTGAGTAACCCCGGTGCCCCTGAGAGAGGGGTTTTCCACGTTAGGAAACGCTGACTGGGCGGACGCCTGAGGTCGCACTGCTCAGTCAGTAGGGTAACAGGGATTAGGTCCTCGATGGACTCCCAGTCCAGTGCTCACTGGGGACCGGACCATACCCTCCTTCCATTGCTGCTTTCTTTCTTGGAAACAAAGAGTTCATTGGGCCCACACTCCCAAATGTCAACCTAAATTGATTTATATTTTAGAGTATATAAATGTCTTTAACCACCTAGACGGTTGTTATCCCTGTATTAAATCTAAGAAAATAAGTAAAGACACTTCTCTCTCTCTCTCTTTTTTAAATTGATTTCAGAGAGGAAGGGAGAGGAAGAGAGAGATAGAAACATCAGTGATGAGAGGGAATCATTGATTGGCTGCCTCCTGCACGTTGGACTGAGCCCACAACCCAGGCATGTGCCCTTGATCGGAATCAACCTGGGGCCCTTCGGTCTGCAGGCCGACGCTCTATCCACTGAGCCAAACCAGCTAGGGCTAAAGACACTTCTTAAGTGGCCTGTCCAAGTTCCCCTCAGCTAGTCTGTCACTAAAGGTGACTGACTGTCCACCATGCCGCCTGGGTCACCGTCACGTGCGTGGTCAGTTAACGCACATGCCATGAGAACCTGAAGTCGCCCTGGTTGTCCCCTCTGCTTTTCAACCTTAGGTGCCACCTACCTGCCTGTCCTGTCATTCTGGACCTTCAACGGGCTCCTACTGGTGGTTGACACCACCGGGAAACCCAACTTCATCTCCCGCTACCGGATTCAGGCTGGCAAGAATGACCCGGTAAGAGTTGCCCCAGCTCCGCCCTGTCACAGCCCAGAAAGCAGGGGCTAAAGCCGCGCTCTCAAAATCCTCACCGCTGGCCCAGGAGAGACGGGGTGGCCAGGGCCAGCCTCTATGTCAAAGCCAGCGCTTGGCCACTGAGAGCCCCTCCTCTGTCAGGTCCTGGGGGTCTCCTCACCCGCACGTTGACAGGCCACGCACTGTCAAAACCTTCATGGTTCAGATGAGAAAGCGGAGGCTTTGAGACATGACATGAGCAGAACCACGATCCACACTCAAGCTTTCTGACACCACGGCTCATGCTGCTAACCGCAGACCGCATCAGCGCTCAAGAATATCACCTAACCCGCAACACCTCAGGCGACAGTGATCGCAGAGCCCACGGGAAGGTGTCGCATGTAGCAGAAGCTGAGGTTCAGAAAGGAGCGGCAACTAGGTCAAGGTCAGACTGTTCCCAGGAAACAGAGCCAGGGCTCCTCTTCCCTGACTCCAGGCCCCGCGCTCCTACACTGTGCACATCCTCAGGTAGACACACAAATAAGAAGGAAGCCCCGGAGGCCATGTAATCTTTGGCCGATTCCAGAAAGGCCTGATCCCTCACTTAAGATACCAGAAGCAGACCTCCAGTGATGCCTGAATGCTGCAGGCAGTCATGAGATCCGGCCTGATCTGCTTACTCTCCTGGATGGCGAGTTTCCACCTCTTCTCTTTCCTCCTCTAAGCTCCTGGAGCAGGACAGCCTTGCTTCCTCCTCACTAAGCAGAGGGAAGCTTCCGCAGACTCTAGCACACGCTCTGCCTTCCCCCTGCTACCACGGGAGCTCTCCTTGCTCCTGTCACAGCCATCCTCCCAGGAGCTGTGAGCCACAGACAGGACCGCTTGCTCACCCCAGGAAATTGTTCCCTTCTCCCTTCTCTTTAAAAAAAAAAAATGTTTTATTTATTGATTTATAGGGGGAGAGACAGGAACATCGATTCGTTGTTCCGCTTATTTATACATTCATTGGTTGCTTCTTGTATGTGCCCTGACCAGAGACGGAGCCCACAACTTTGGAGTATCGGGATGATGCTCTTCCCAACTGAGCTACCCGCCAGGGCTCAATGTATCTTCTGTTCCCTTACTTTCCTAGATTATTCCTCTCTGGATTATTATCGACATGCTGTAATTTTTCCATCTTAACACTAAACCAGCCCTGGCAGGGTGGGTCAGTGGGCTGTGGCATCCTCCTGTACACCAAAAGGTCGCGGGTTCGATTCCTAATCAGGGTACATCCCCAGGTTGCTGGTTCGATCCCCAGTCGGGGTGCATATGGGAGGCAACCAATTGATGTTTCTCTCTCTCTCTTCCTCTCTAAAATCAATAAATATATTCTTGGGTGAGGATTTAAAAAAAAAAAACCCACCCACAAACCAAACAAAAACCCTTGACCCCATCTCTACACTCACTACCACTCATTCTTGCTCTCCTTTGCAGCAAAAGTCTTTGTCTGCAGTTTCTACTTCCTCTCTGTCCACTCTTCCCCCCCCCCAACATTTTGTAATTATGAACAAATGTAGACATATATACAGAAGTAGTACAATAATCACTCATTTACATATCACCAGTTTTAAACATTTTACATTTGCTTCTTCAATATATAAAAGTGTATATATCTGTGCCTCTATAATTTCTTGCTTAAGCATTTGAAAGGTCCAGACATCATAACATTTCACCCTAAGTCCTCAGGCTGCATCTCCTAAAATAACCACAGATCATCACCTCTTGATGATGTAGTACCTGGAAAAGCTGGAGGAAGGGGAAGGCCTCAAGTCTGAGGACCACCATGAACCTAGGCTCACCTTCGGGCAGCAGCCCCTACAGCTTGCAGAGGGGACTCGGGAGGAATCCCTTCTGACCAATCCTAAACCAGCTCGTCAGACCCAGGAAGTGGCCCGTGGTTACGGGGCTATTCCTGGGACCCCCAGTGCTCTGAGGAAGGGAGTGGTTGGGGCTACTGATTCTGGGGAAATGCTGGCTGCCGTCAGTGACCTTGGAGAGGATGCTCAGGCAGCCCCACTGTGCTGACAGGTGCAGCACCAGGAAGAAGGCAGGTTCAGGCAGAGACCGAGGCTGCGGGAGAGGCACTGCCCGCTGGTTCCACCCAGGGCGGGGCAGCCGTCAGGAGCTGCCAGCTACGGCCGGACACCACTCCGAGCATCCACCTCTGCATGAGGGCTTCCTGTGAGCAGGTCACAGTGGAGCTTTTCTAGAAGGAAAAGACCTACATCTCACTCTGTCCCTTCTCCCTCCTTCCTCCCTGGGCAGGTGGACCCCGTGAAACTGCGCCAGTCCGTCCGCACGGTTCTGCTCAACCAGCTCCTGATCTCCTTGCCCATCGTGGTCCTCCTCTACCCCACCCTCAAGCTGTGGAGGGACCCCTGCCGCCGAGAGCTGCCCACCTTCCACTGGTTCCTCCTGGAGCTGGCCATCTTCACGCTGATCGAGGAGATCATGTTCTACTACTCACACCGGTGAGCGGCCGCCGGGCACAGCTGGCACCTCACTCTCCACCACGTGCCTGCAAAGCCTCCCACCCAGCAGTTAACAGGGAGACATCTGTCCACAGCTGACAACCGAGACAACGGAGAATGTCCAGAAAAGAAAGCCTCTCCATTCCTGGGGCTTTTCGCATTCACTTCCTTAGGGAACCCTTTCTGGGCATCATCCCCATTTTACAGCTAATACAGCTGAGGTGGACAGAGGCAAAGTAAGCCACTCCCACTCTTGTGTGCAGCGTAAGAGGTGGGGTCGAACTCAGAGGCAGGTCTGTGTGTTTTCAGCCTTGCTCCACAGACGTAACGCCTGGGGCCTACACCTCGGTTTCTCGTGGTCTGTGGGAAAAGGGGGAAGGGAGGGTGGCAGATTATGAACTATGAACTATTTTCCAGGCTCCTTCACCACCCAATGTTCTACAAGAAAATCCATAAGAAACACCACGAGTGGACAGCTCCCATTGGCGTGATCTCGCTCTACGCCCACCCCATCGAGCATGTGGTGAGTAGAGCTCGTGCCCCAGAACCAAGGGCACAGGCCAGCCACCTTCCCTCGGTCTCCTGCAGAGAACCAGACCGCACCGGCCCCTCCTGCTCCCCATTCGTTAAATAACCAGCACTTACTGTTGACTTAGCATATGCCAGGCTATCCTAGATGCCCATCGTAAGTTATCTCATTTAATCTTCCCAAGAACCCTTTTAATCCTCATTTTACTAATGAAGACGTTGAAGCTCTAACCATTAATAACTTGTCCCAAAATACAAAGGTGAGTGATTCCAGCAAACCAGGGTCTTGAAACTTTCAGATTCTCCAGACCTGAGTCAAGGAAGTCTTCCTGGTACCACCTGGGGCAAAGGGGACACCCAACTAGGTCCCCTCCATCTCCCTGGGGCCCACCTTCCAACAGCCCTTCCCTTGCAGGTCTCCAACATGCTGCCGGCAATGGTGGGGCCCATCGTAATGGGCTCCCACTTGTCCTCCATCATGGTGTGGTTTTCCTTGACTCTCATCGTCACCACCATCTCCCACTGTGGCTACCACCTACCCTTCCTGCCTTCACCTGAATTCCATGACTATCACCATCTCAAGTAAGGCTCCCTTGCCCACGGTGGGTCAGTAACCTCCACCTCTACTTCTGCTAGCAGACACCGGTGTCTCCGTTTACATGTGGCGCTGGTGGAGGCAGAGGGCTGGAGGTGGGGAGAATGACCATGCTGGACCCCAGGCCACCTTGCTCATTCCTTCTTTCTGATACCTGATCTTCCTGCAACTGGGATTTTAACCTTATCTAGGTCCTGGCCCCTCTGAGTATGCAATATAAGCTAGGGCACTGTCAGAAAAATGGGGGGACTTGTGCACTGAAAGCTTCCAGGCTTTCTCTGGTGTGGCCTGGGAGCCCCCTGCACAGAATCACCTGAGATGTGCCTCACTCTGAATATGCCGAATCAAATTGTCTAGGGGAAGGGAGGAGCAGGGCTTGGAAATATGCCTTTTTTTTTTTTTTTTACATTTGTGCTTGTGTGTTTGTTTTTAATATATTTTTATTGATTTCAGAGAGGAAAGAAGAGGGAGAGAGAGAAACAATGATGAGAGAGAATCATGGATCGGCTGCCTCCTGCAGGTCCCCCACTGGGGATCGAGCCCACAACCCAGGCATGTGCCCTTGACCATAATCGAACCTCGACCTTTCAGTTTGCAGGCCGACATTCTATCCACTGAGCCAAACCAGCTAGGGTGGAAATCTGCATTTTAAAGGGTGTTGCAGGGGGTTCTGATTCAGCTACAGGTTGTGACTTGTGTGCATAGCTATCACAATAAGAGCTTTTCAAAGGAAGCTCAGAGATTTCCAGTCTGGGGTGGCGCCAGGCAAGTGTGCCCCATCTCCCCTGGGATTTCTGATGCAGGTGGTCAGCATGCAGGGGAGGGGTGGGGGGGTAGGAGGGCTGAGAAATGTGGGAGAGGCTGGCACAAATGAGGTCAGCACACAGGTCTCCAGCATCCTCTTCTCTCCTCCAGGTTCAACCAGTGCTATGGGGTGCTGGGGGTGCTGGACCATCTCCACGGGACAGACACCGTGTTCAAGCAGACCAAGGCCTACGAGAGACACATCCTCCTGTTAGGCTTCACCCCACTCTCTGAGAGCATCCCCGACCCCCCAAAGATGGAGTGAGAGAGGGCCTGAGTGCCATCCTGGCTGTCCCCTCAGCAGCGGACTGCTAAGGTGGCCTGAGGCCTCCTGACCGCACCTGGGAACTTACTTCTTCAGCCCGGCACTAAAGATAGCACCGCGAGGGAGGGGGCAGGCTGGCTTCCAGGAAATGCAGGGCCAGGGCTCCCCTGACTGCCCCTTTTGTCCCTCCAGGGGACCAGGAGTTAGCTTAAGGAAGAGGAAGAAACAGCTCCCCACAATGACCAGTCCCTACGGTCCTCTGCTGTGAAAGGAAAGAGGGGCCCGGATGACTGCGTAGGCAAGATGTAGCTAATGACAGGTGGCAGCCACACTGGAGGCTGCGTGGCTCCGGAGAGCCCCTTCTGCTGCCAGGGGCTGGGGGGGGAGGGGAAGGCGGGGGGGCAGAAGAGAGCACTTTCCCCCTTTTCTGTCCCCCAAACTTCTCTCATACCCTACTCAGGCCAGAACCAGACAGCCTGGCAATAGTGGTAGGGGTCAAGTCCCCTTGCCCCTCCCAAACAGTCGGTGACAAGGGCCCCCTTTACCTCTGACCCATTGCAAACAAACGTCAGCCCTCTCTGCAAACAAAAATAACATCGAAGCTCCTCCCTGATTACAGCTGACACCACGGGTGCAGACTAAACGCCAGTACCTTCAGCCAAACCGGGAAACCAAAGGCCAAACCCTGTGGACCTGCTAAACTGGGGGCCCTTTAATCCAGAGGGAAGGGTCAAAATTTGGGGACACTTGACTGAAGCGCCTAATTAGACTCTCTGAAGCAGGGCCAGAGGCTAGAACCCTCTTTCTCCAATGAGAAGGCACGAAAAACATGGCTGAACAAAGGGCAAAATCCTCATTTCCCCCCCAAATGATTACTCAGTTGTTTTAGCAGTGATGCCTTTTCAAATGCAATCTTACCAGGAAGCTTGTCTGAAACAAAAACACAGAGCTGCTGGGGTGGGAGCAATCCCCACCCTGCCTGCCCTCAGCAGCCGTGGTCTTGCCCTTATCAGATGTTTAAATATTTTATAAAGCTACTGTGGGTGGTTACTGTGGGTGGTCTTGCCAGGGGCCCCGTGGCTCCCAGGAACAATCTGACCACTCTGATTCGAGAGGCCGCCATCATCACTTACCAAATGCTTCCACATAATTGGGTCTATTCCTGAACTTTCAGTTCTCATATGTCAAGATAACCACCCACAGTAGCTTTATAAAATATTTAAACATCTGATAAGGGCAAGTCTCCAGGCAGGACCATCAGCGCTAGGAATCCAGAGGACCTACCCAGTGGGCCGACCGGGCACTTCCCAGGTAGAGTCTTCCCTGGCCTGGCAAAGCCCCACCCACTCACTCGCCTCAGGAGCTGGTGCACCTGGCGGGTGACCTATATCCTTAGCTAAGTCCTCACAGCCACTAGCCTGCACCCACAACCTGGGACTTATAAACGTTCGGACAATAGCCCACCTCCAATATCCTTAAAAAGGGTAGGAAATGAGGAACGTGGAGAAAGAGAAAGAGTGGAAACATTTTTTCCCTTTAAGACCTTGAGATTCCGAAGTTCCGGCGGGGCACCTGGGGGGTAAGAGGCGGGGCACCTTTCACAGCTTTTGGCAGGCAAGTGGGTGGGCCCTGGCAGAGGGGGCCAGCCCTGTCCTCTTCTGCATAAAACCTTTTAAAGGGCCCTGAGCTTGGTAAACGAGTAAGGCTCAAGCAAAGGCTGAGGTCTCAGATTTGCTGCAGAAAATGTGTGAGAGGAGGAAGCATGGAAATAAACTGGTCTCCTTTTAACTCCATTCGCCACTGCAGTTTTTCTCGCCACTGCACAACTCACAATCACATGGCTTCTTGGAGCTACGGGCCCCTTTCGCAAGCATTCCCAACAGGTGTGGGAGTGAGGCTGCATTAACCGTCTTCCTGTCCGAACCAGTCTGCACAAGCCCTGGCCACTATCTCCTGCTCCCTGCCCACCTGCTGGCTGGTGGAATTCTCTGGAAAACCAGGCATGGGACACAGTTGCCAGATGAATGAGTAAATAAAGCCAGAACTTATTTTTAGTTTTGTGACTATACATCTAGGACCAACTGGCATTCAGAATACTACTGCCCGAGACTGGCCTCACGGGTTGGGGAAAAGCCACCAATAGCCCCCCAGGCCAGTCCCGATGCGGGTGGGGGCTCCTCCCTAGCATCGATCCTCAGGCTCACTTGGACTCCCTAAGGCCAGTGGTGAACTTGACACCCCAGCAGGTAAGTCTGTTCAGTGAGGGGCAGTGCCAACCCTCCTGTGAGAAATCAGCACCCCTCTCCTTCCTGGCCGTCTCTTCCCTCAGGGCCAGGCCACAGCAGGTGCAGGAAACCCTGGCTGTTGGACTGGTCTGTTCTATGGCACTGGTGTAGCTCCCACTTCTTACTTAAGACACAGGGCGAATTCAAGACTGGCAGCTCTCATGCTGCCTTAAAAGCTAAGGGACCCCTGTCCCAGGCAGGGTTCTCCCCTCACCAGCTCCACCCCTCACAACCATCAGTTGTATCCCAGATGGGAGACCAGCCAGTATTGTGCCTTTTCAAGTTTTTATTTTTATACATTTTTTTTGTATTAAAAAGAAAAGCATAATTACCACAAATTACAAAGGACTAAAGCAGACTAGAATAATGAATCACTTCAGCCTGGAAAGCAGATACTCTCAATAATATTAATGTTATAATACAAGCTCATTCAAGTATTTTACATTGTTTGTCCTTTTAAGTGATATCCTAGCACATGGTAAAGATAATGTACTATGAGCATAAGGTGGAACCTTCTCCGCAAAGCCAGGTGACATGTTTTCCTCTCCAGTGAGAAATGGGCTGCAAGTTCCTATCTTCTCTGCCGCTGCCGTCAACATGGCTGAAGGAGAGGGTGAGGCTGGGGCAAGTCCAGGGACCCTCCACACAGGAGGCACTGTGGGGTCCCACTCAGGGGGGTGCCAGATGATCCAGACTGCTCTACCCAGGCTTTTGGCAAAATCCCCAACCCTAGTCGCCTTCCTTGCCCCTCTCCCCACTTCAAGGGCCTTCTGAGCAGCTTACTTTCTTTTCTAAAATCAATCACCAGGAAAGGGGGAAGGGAAGCTACAAATCAACAAAACAGAACACAACTTTGACATGGGGCTCAGCATCTCGATCTGAGCCCCAGGGTCCAGGCTGGGGCTCGGGCCGGCAGCCCCTCTCTGCTGGTAGTGCACCTGTTCCCAGGTTCAGGAGAGGGGAGAAACCTGCCCCGAGCAGGGCTGACACACAAAGGGTGTGTTGGCATGGACCAATCCTGGAAGGATACAGGATGAACAGAAGGATCTGGGCAGGCTATTTTGTGTCTCAGATCTTGGATCCCCATGAGAGGATGGTGGGTGTGAAGTGGCAAGCCCTGATGGCCCCCGCCACTCCTGGCATGCTTGTCACAGATACATCGGTCCTAAATTCAAGTGTCTTCAGAAAGTGAAGATGTAAACTACTCTTTGCAACATCAACTCCTAACATGTTACAAAAAAAGAAAAAAAAGAAAAAGAAAGTAAAAAGAAAGAAAAAAAGTCTCCTTTCTCCCCATCCTCAGCCTATGTTGAGATGAAGTCCTCACCTCAAAGGGGCTTCCTCTCTCTGGGGTGTCTGTGGGGAGGGATCAGGGAGAAGATGGCAGCCAGCCCCTGGCCTGGGAATAAACTCTGATCAGAACAGCCTGCCCCCACACCCCCAAGGCTTCCTTGTGCCCCACACCCAGCAGAGGACAAACACTGAGGTTTCTGTGGTGCTGGATACAGTACAGGGCTGCGCAACCTGAAGTAAAGGGGAGATACAGCAAAGGAGGCCGGGGTGCAGGAGTCCAGTGTCTGGTACAACACAGGGTGGGCACCAGACAGGGCAGGGAAAGGCTGCAGATCCCGCCGTCAGAGCGGAGATCAGACACTCATCCGTGGCTTTTGAGACAACCGGGTCACAGGAACTGAGATGGGTTTCCCAACATACTAACCATTGGGAGGGCAGAGATGAGGGGGCAGGCCAAAAGCAACGACGTGCCCAAGATAGAGGCAAGCCCTGGGGTACTGTCCCCTACTCCTAACCTTTGGGCCCCACAGAAGGAGTTGAAAAAGAGGGCCAAGAAAGTGTCAGCAACTGAGCAACATTACCACAAACTTTTCAGTGCTGCCTGGTCCCCACTGGGGGTGGATGCATTGTCTTCCCACACCCAACACAGCCCAGTCCATGTGGGTCAGTCCTTCATCACCCCCACCCCCCAAGCTCCAAATGCCTGTAGACTCCAGCCATTCCATTGTTTCACAGCCCAACCCAAGCAGTCAGTGGCTGGAGAAGTCAGGTATACTCTATGTCCACATATACCTTCCTGCCATGGGGCTTCTCCAACTGGCAGGGTTCTCCCCAGCCCCCAACTCCTCGTCCCTCGTTCCCAGGCAGGGTCAATTGGAGGCTGGGCAGAGATGGCTTGCAGAGGGGAATGCAAGATGGGGAGAACCCACCAGACCCAAGGGAGGAGAACAGCATTTTTCTCCACCTTTTATGAGACAAAGCCTCCTTGAGTCTCAAAGATCTTTCAGGGCAACTTAAGAAACACTTCCAAGCCTCAGCTGCCAGGTGTTCACCTTTCCCCTCTGAAGTGGGAAGACGGTCAAGCTGAGGACATGTGTGTCCCAGATCCAGGCCAACGCTCTTCTCCAACAGTTTGAAGCAAACTTGGCCTTGGGGTTCCAAGGGTAGAATGAAGGGTATCACAGCAGGGACAGGGCCTAGTGTGAGGCAACAGCAAGCAGAGCGAGGACACGACAGTGGCAGCAGTGTAGACACAGGACGTCAGCTTCAAACGATGCAACAGCAGGGATATTCGGGCATGGCTCTCATCCGAGCCAACCCCAACTCTCTTGCCTCCAAAGCAGGAGGCACTGTACATGCAATTCAGTCCAGAGGAAGAGTCTAGTCAATCCAGCCCAGGCACATCCAGAGAAGGTGAGAGCTCTGAGTGGACTCCACCGAGGAAAACAGGCATTTGGGTATTTCAGATTCCCGCTCCACAATAAGGCAACTTTTAAAAAAATATTATTTCAAAGAACAAAACAAAACAAATTCCAAGGGTAGGCGAAAAACATCACTTGCTGTGGATTAGGTGGGGGTTTTCTGATTTTCTTTTTTTGGTCTTTTATGGTCGGTTTTGTCTTTTTTTTTTTTTTTTCTTTCCTTCTTCCCCAAGGATGATAAGGTCAGAGAAAAATAAAATAAATCATCTTTCAATAGTCTTTTCTGGTATGAGCAGCGTCTCTCTGGGCTGGGGAGTAAGGGGTATGGGAAGAGGGGAGTAGGGAGAGGCCAAAACCTCCCCCACCTCCACTTTTAGATCCTTTGGTTT